TATCTCTGAGCTCTGACCTCTCGGCTTTCTCTTTTACATTGGCTCTGTGTTTCTTATTTTAATAAGACAATTGGTTACATCTACATAAGGGAATAGGATGGTCTAGCTGGAACTGGAATCAAATGGAAGAGCAATTAAAGAGAAACCATGATAGAGGGAGACACCATGGGGTTAGGGTGAAACTGGGTGCTAGGGAAGTTTCCAGAAATCCACAAGGTTGACCTCACCTTAGAATATTAGCAATAGCAGAGAGGGTGTCTGAACTAGCCTACCCCAGTAATCAGATTATTAATACCCTACCTGTCATCATAGAGCCTACACCTATAGTAACTAAGGGAAGCAGATGCAGAGATCCACAGACAAGAACCAGCTGAGTTTCAGGAGTCCAGTCAAAGAGAGAGAAGAGGGATTCTATAACAAAGGACATCAAGATCATGATGGGGGAACATACAGAGACAACCAAACCAAACTAGTGGGTACTCATGAACTGTGGACCATTAGCTTTGGAGCCTCCATGGGATGTGAGACAGTTATGTAGTTTTATCTGCTTAAGGGACCCTTGGCACTGGGATCACGATCCATCCCTAGGGCATGAGTGTACTTTTTGGAGCCCACTGACTATGGTGCAACACCTTACACAGACTTGGTCTTGAGGGAGTGGATTGGACCTGCCTCAACTGAGTGTATTCGGCTCTGCTAACTCCCCACAGGAGGCCTTGCCTTGCAGGAGGTGGGAATGCGGGTTAGGATATGGGGAAGAATGGGGGGTGGGAAGAGGCAGGGGAGATGAATCTGTAGTTGGTATGTAAAATGAATAGAAAATTTCTTAATAGAAAAGAAAAAAAGCTAAATCTAAGGTTTTGTACTTATGCATAGTGTATATAGTTAAATAATTTGTTGGTATATGCTTGAATGTTTTGTATGTTAGTAGAAAAATATAAAATCAGAGTACTAAAATTTATGAATGATTTACAACTTGATTATAAAGGTATAGAAATAAGAGCAAGAAAAGGAAATAAATATCTTGTTCCATTCTTCAAATATCTGGCACTGCTGTAGTTTGAGACTAAGTAAGGGGGTTTTGGTCAAGAGTAAGTTGTCTGTATCCCTGGCAAGTTGCTCTGGCTACTGCTTTCCTTCATGGTGATGACATGATAATTCACACAGCTGGGTGTGTCTGTGAGGTAATTAGTAATGCCCACGAAGCCCTGAAGATTTGTTGAAAGCTTGCTTGAAAGGGAAGGAATAGAGTTATTGTCAAGAGATATTTGGCAGTTTTTTCTTCTTGTCATAACGTCTGCAATACCTTGACTCATGGATAAGAATGTAGATTTTAAAACAAAAGAACTGCTGCTTATTGCAATTATAATCTCTTGGACTATCCTGCTTCTGATTTTGATAATATTCTTCATAAAATTATGCATCGCTTTCTTCCTGTCTTTTCGTAGAAGAAGGATTCCTTCCCGCTTTCATTAAATAGAATGTGGCCACATATCAACAACTTTGTGAGGAAAATTTACAAATCACAAGACACACAGGTGAGTTTCTAGTCATGTTATATGTAAACCATGAAACTTCGTATTTCCCTGAGGCTAAAGGGAAACAATTTCTGGGAAGTTTGATAAAGTATTATCAATGTGAAAATAATAGGGAAGAGGTAATTTTGGTGTCTAGCTCAAGTTGAATTGTGGAAAAAGAAGATAAGAATGTGAGGGGAAAATTGATTGCATGTAAATCATAGAAAACATTTAATATGCCGGGCAGTGGTGGCGCACGCCTTTAATCCCAGCACTCGGGAGGCAGAGGCAGGCGGATCTCTGTGAGTTCGAGGCCAGCCTGGTCCAAAGGGGGTTCCAGGAAAGG